AACTAAAAATGGACCCAGAGAAATTAAAGGAGATCGGCTTCAAACACTATTCATCGATGGACAATGGCCAGGAAATAAAATTTGTCGTTTTAAAACCACAATCAATTCACAAATACAGTAACATTTTTATTGTAGTTTACTGTGTCAAATTAGTTTAGTATTTTAAGATTTTCAATGCGCGGAATTGTTCCCTATCAAAGGAAAACGGAATAATGTTTTTCAACATAATATTATTATTGAAATTAAAACTAAAAGGATAGATATGAGACAACTCAGATATAATACGCCCTGACATTTTCTCGGAAAAAACACTGACGATAAATTATTGCCAAAAACTCATTCTAGAAAGCTTATTCCAAGAAAAACACATTTTTAACAACATAATTCAGTGTATTTTATATTGGCTGTGTATGTTATATCGCATACAAATGTCCTTGCTTTCCTTCCCTTGACACAACCAAAATAACTTTAGTATATTACCGTTATGAAAAGGCTCCAAGCAGACTACGTTTTATGCATCAGTCAGTCGCCTCCTCAACCGTACAGCCCTCTCTCCATTAGGCAAGCTGTACAGGTGTTTTCCGTCCTTCGTCCGTCCTTTTCACTCCGACTCAATACATAGCAACGTGATGTAGGAGAGAGCCCTGACCTCTGGGCATGCTGCCACTTCCAACCGGTAATCACCAAACATTACTAGACCCTCGTTTCCTGATGAAAAAATGAAACATTACTGTTGTTTTGTTTTTTTGATTGATCCTGTTATTATAATCACAATTTCATGTTCAATGTCATGTTAATATTTATATATCTCAAGTGCGGTTCTTTATTCACGTGTTTCATTGTGGATTTGCTTTTTGTAGTTTTTGTCAGTGTTCACCTTCAAGTTGATAAATGCACCGAACCCCACGACATTACGAATAATCTAGTACAATATATTCTCAACTCGGTTCTCAGTGGTTCAGTTTTGTACGAAAGAATTATCCAAACGAACAGACAAAATATGACACGAGAATTTGAAAATCTTCCAAAATTGGCCTTCGATTCGGATTTCGGCTCTGTTAAAAGCATTCTCAGATTCGAATTCCTATGTTTATACATTCATCAAGGGCCCATTTCCGAGTCCCTCGGTTGTATTTTTACCTCGGATTTTATTAATATCTATTTATTATTTTAATGTTGTGATTATTTTATAAATTGATATAAAACTGGTGTTTAACAAATCTCTCTCCAGTAACGATGACAATGTCGTGCCATCTCCTTAACAGATCGATGGCAGATGCACGGGAGTCGACTTTTATCCTAACCGTGACAATATAACTGGGCTTCTGGCGGGAAGGGGATCTATGATGTTAAAACAGTTATATTTTGAGGCTATTGGTATATTAATCTCGTTGAGTTTATACCATAACAGCTGTTGCTAGAACCGGTAAGTTAATAGGTCAGATGCTACGCGAACTGAGCCTGCTGAATTTCCTGGTACATGGCACTCTGCCCCTCCCGTACTCAATTATTGCGTCTACTTTATTAAATTCTTCCATCAATCACGAGTTGTTGACGATCACATAGGATAAACCACAACTTGGTTGAATGTATTTTGGGGTCACTGCGATGTCTGGTCGCGGTTCTATTTAAATTAGAGCGAAGAATATATCTTATATAATAAATATATTGTTATTATATTGAATAAATACATATTTATATAGTTCGAGACCCATTTGGTTTAAGCTATATAAATAAATAAATAAATAAATAAATAAATAAATAAATAAATAAATAAATAAATAAATAAATAAATAAATAAATAAATAAATAAATAAATAAATAAATAAATAAATAAATAAATAAATAAATATTACCAAAACTGCTAATAACCTAAAATAAAATGAATATATATTTAGAAAAAAAAACATGAACAAAAAATAAAAATAAATTATTTTAATCAGATTGTGTAAATGTATAAATGCGACGTATGACCGAGGAAAAGCTGAACGATTTCCTATTGACGTTGCATTGTATAAAATACAAGGTTCTTACATTGTAATACAGTTGTGGTGTACTACCGGTAGCATGTATTTCCATTGTATGTATGTGCGCGTGTGTTTTCGTGGATTGTATCGCAGGTGGTTCTCACAGCTTGTGTCAATGGCACAATTATATTAACCTTATATTGACTGTAGCAGGCCATGCTTAACCTCCTCTATTAGAGATCCCCGGCTTATATTTATCGACACCCATCTAAAAAAAACATTCTACTTAAACAGTAACAATGGTGGAACAGGGAGGTTACTGCTTCAATCCTAAAAGAAAAAAATGCAATATAAAGAAATGGCGGTTTATTAATTACACATAACAGACACTTGCGTCGCCGTGACACGTGTTCGGCGTGACACGTGTTCGCCGTGACACGTGTTCGGCGTAACACGGGTGCAGGGTATGAGTTGCACATTGCGCACGCCGTCACATTAGAATCCATCACCGACCATATGCGTCATCATATTAAACTATTAGTACGTTTGCACAGGATACCGGGAGCAATAGCCAAGCGTTCAAGTCATCAATCATACCAGTTTACAGAGTTTAACGAGAATCGTAAACACTGCCCTCTTTGTTGACCGCACTGAATTACCTGACAAAATTGTTCATCATAGAATTCCATTATTAGGTCGCTTTTCTTAAAAAAATATCAAATATAGCATGATAACATTCTTAAATAATTAATACTGAATTGTTTAGTTGTAGAGTAGAAACATACGAAGCCAACTACCTACCAATACAGAGCGGTATCTATGACATTGATATCACGTGACCTTCCGGGTACAGCAGGATCTGTTCAATAAATAAGAGTTCCATCGGTCAAATGTGAAACATGTTGTTAAATATGAACTCTTTTATAATAATTATATAATTAAATACAATACATGTTCTGAAGTACAATTGTTTTGCACTGTGTTATAGCCAACACGAACTCACGAAGGTCAAGTTTTCAAAACTGAGTAGATAATGGTCACTGGAACAACAATGTACTAATATAGAAAGTTCACACACTACTGTATCATGAACCGTCTGATGAGGACCATGACAGATAGGGTGTGTATATGTATATACGTTTCAAACTCAGGCAATTGCCACGTTGCTATGGTTTCCAGCGAAATTTCAGTTTTAAAAATGTAATGTTAATAGTGAGCTACAATCAATTCGCTCGTTTTAAATTGTCAGTTCCATCACCCTGGTAACAAGTGTGCGTTCTACAATTCTCGTGGAGTGGGTGTTTTCTTTTCACCACGTTTTTCTTAATTCGTCATAAATAGCAAAATTCCACACAAAGTGGAAAGAATTGATGCGGAAAGCTGAATAATTAATGAGACTACGTTGTCATTAAAGTAAATGGTACCTCACTTCTGTATTTTAACGTATGCCATTCGAGTTACCACCGTGGCTAAAACGGCCCACTTTAATTGTAAATTAATGAATTTCAAACTTCTCCTAAAAATACGGCATATATATAATAAGTCCATCGAAAGAAATGCTGTCAACTCAGGCCGAGAACGCGTTGTATTCTGCGCATGGGAACGCGGCAAGTAAAGTGAAATAACGAGACAGCATCTATGTAAAATTCAGTTAGTGAGTTGTTTGTTTGTTTGGTTGATTGTTTAAAGAAAAATAAGTTGCGGGAACGAACTAAGTGGACACTGGGGTTAAAACTAAGAGATTGTGATACCAGCACAAAATTAAAAATAGTTTAGTAGAAAAAAACGTTTGTAGTACATCGCTGACGGTTTGCTAGTAGTACTAATAATATAGCCATTATTGTGTCGCAATATTGTGACGTTTCTTTTCGTATGTCATATGAACATGACAGTCAGCACTGTCACTTTGTTGTGAATCTACTCTCAACCGAAACTATCGGGAGTTTCAAGTTCAAATTATTTGATGTTTTTATCCATTCTTGAAAAATCGGCCAATTTACGGTGCTCTAACCACCCTAGTATTAACACCTGCTCGCCCTTCCGTTTGCATGATCATTAATATTTAGTTTAGATCACGCCCATTTTCACTGCCAAAACGATTCGTTGTATAGAAGAAAAAGAAAGGTGCTGTCTTGCTCTGAATATGCTACTCCATAGCGCCACTCCATCTTGTGCCTGGAAAAAGTGTACACTATTAATGGTGCACTTTTCACAATAAAACATCTAACTAAAGACATAGATAACTGGTTTGAGACGACATTGTATAGCTTCTGATGTCGCGTGTTCGCAATAGATGTATCGTTGGAGCATCAAATTGCAACACCCTAACATTGCGGAATCCAGCTTGGACTTCAGCTTTAAATAATTCATTATCAAGTAGTGTAGTTGAAGGATGGCAACTGACAAGAAGGTAAACAATTGACACGGATTAAAGAAAGGGTGTTGTCAATTAGAACAATTCGCGGACTAGGGTAAGAATAACATTAGTGTGAAGTGGCGATGTTGTATATGTTTTAGTATGTGCAATGTAGATTTCGGGTTCGATATATTTATTGTAAAACTGTGTATTTTAAATCTGTTTATAGCACGTGTATGATGAATTGCATGTGTAAAGACAGATTACAAGTAACAAGTCTAATGTTGCTTTAGCTGAGGATCGAATGAATTAACTCCGGGAAAGCGTCACAGCTGAATCGCTCAATTCGGGTGTGATGGCCCCTTTGTCTCGGCATGCAAAGGGACGCATGTGTAATCTATGAATCAATTCTCGACTTCCATTGTTTGGGTCCACCGATAATATCATGAATTCCCTCCTTTTACGAGGACTGCCCGTGAAAGGTGAATCGGGGTGGCGCCAATGAGTTGACCAATGGGCGTGCGGGATCGGGCTGCGGCGTAACGTTTCTTTTTATGTAATGACCACGTCCACATTGAATCCCAATGCAAATGAGACCAAGGTACAAATATATATCACACAAACGCTTGGATTAGGTCTCACTCTTAAAAACAAAGTCGTGGCTGTCATTGTTCAACAGTGTGTCCCCTAGACGTCAGTGGGAAGGCACCTCTTCTTACCCCGGCAGTGCGATGAAGCCCCGGTGCTAAGATGGGTCCACCTTGTTTCATCAGTTTCCTCGGCAACGTGTGCGGAACGTGGTCGAGATGTCCGAGCAACACGAGGGTCGAATACTATGTGTTTCATAAGCCACGGTATTGACAGTATACGTTAAAACGAGTGAAATGCCACGTTGTACTGCTACAGCTGTTCATAGCGTATGAGAGAAACGTGTTTCGTGTATTCATCGCATCGTCATGGCGGCTGTAATTATTTAGACGATGTGTGTACGGTAACGTACGACACCACTCCCGATCACACACAGCGGTACATCTCTGTTTAGTCGGCCTTGGAATCATGCGGTGACTGTACATGTTATAGGTAAGTACGAGTTCGCCGATTTGTTGGCATTCCCAGAGATATGATGACACAAATAGAACAAACATAACGCAAGCCTTCTTTGCATACGTCGTCCTCTTTATTTATTTAGCGTTATTTAGATACAGTAGAACGCGGGAGGTTCCTCGTTCTTATCGATACTCTCCCACAATTGTCGATATACATATTGCGATGTCGATCCCGACCTCTCGGCTGTGGGGCTTCGTTTTTATCTATAGATAACGCTTCCTGACTGTGTCAAATTACAGAGCTGTTAATATTAATAGCGTATAGCATACGTTTCAGGCAGTGATACAACTGAAACAAAAACTGTCACGAAGTGGCACATTTCTGAATTCCCAAAATTCACCGATCTGGAATCAAAACATATCTTCACATCGATAAATTACAATGGGAGGACAAATCAAACGTAAACATATTGTAACCGGGCGTTACGTGTACCCGGATGACTAAAATAACACTGATTTTATCTGGGTTGGGACCAGCTTGTCAGATGGCTCGATAGATTTACTGAAATACCACCGAGTAACTCAACAAAAATCTGTTCTATGTAATTAGTCTAAATTCTCAAAGAGAGAAATTCTAGTTTTTCTTTTGGATCTTGTCGTGCTATAGGTCAGTATCTTTTCAACATAGTCTATTTAAGGTCATAATTGCTGTAAAAAGTGGTAGTTTACGATTAGTGATTTTCTACTAATGGCTGGGACTGATGAGAAAGTCCAACGGGCTAACAGATATACCTGGCGTAAATTACCAGTAGCGCGTTTCCGTTCTTGCTGCCTTCAGTAACACACAAGACAAAACCCTGTCCTAGCAATGTTCGCTATACGATGTTGCAACCACCAGTTAAGCCGGAAGATGAATGGGCATTGCTAAAGCCGACAGGAATGCATACCAGGCTATTCAACTTAGTTATATTGTTTCATTGGCAGAAAGCATTCGACCTTTTCATTCCATTCAAAATAAAACTCATTTAGTCCACCTGAATCGAAAGTCATTTTGTAGGAAATAGTTCTCGTACATTTGGCTACTACACATGTGGGCCCGTATGTCACACAGTGAAAGATGCGTCGTCGTTATGACAGCGATTTTGTGAAGTACTGTTTATGGGTGTTACTGAACAGCTCGGGAACGAGTAGTTATTCGATTGTGACGTGCGCATTTCATGTCGGTTTAAGCCGCTCATAGACATCCAATAATTCAATGTGTTTTCAGAACTCGCCTGCTCTGTCAAACTAGCAAACGTTTTACATATAAGTCGCATGCATGTGTCGTCCTTGCTGAATAGTCGCACATAATGCGGGAATCGGAAAAGAGAGTCAGCAAGCGCGGAGCATAAAGACGAGTTCTGTAGCGAGCAATCGTCCCGAGTATTCCGTCGCTTTATTACGACTAATCTGGTACAATGCTAGTTAAGTAAAACAATGTACGAAACGTTTAGACGGGGAGGACGAACATGCATCAGTAAATCAGCTGTTTTTCCCTTAACTGTTTTGACCTGTGTATGTGTACTGTTTATGGTTGAGTGGATTGATACGAACTGTCGTGGTGTTAGAATAGGAAAGGTATTTTGTGTGAAGAGTAAAATATCCCATTCTTTGTCTATATAATATACTATGTTTGTCTGTAATGATTACATGTACGTTATTTATCTCTGGTACAATTCTAGCCAACGACCTCTGTAATAGAAATATAATTATTATAATATTTCAGGAAAGGGCTTAGGGTTATATCACATCGACATGTTGCATTTGATCAGCTGAGTGGAGTGTGTGCTGACTGGCCGGCCGGCATACGCCAGTACTGAAGTTCCACGTGGCAGGATATTACAATTACTTGTTTAAAGCTAGCCCATGAATTTGGCGGCTTGGTTTTATTTTCGATTGTGGGTTCATTTCATCTGTATGTGATGACAATCTGAAAACGTGGGCTCCCACGAAACCGCGGTATTTTAGGAATGCGTGTGATTTGCTAGATTACACTGCATACGGTGAGCGCTTTGGCGGTCTCAGAATGACTACTACGACGGACGCTTTGGTCCGGTTCCTTCTCGGCACAGAGAATACCAACGCTTGGAGACAAGTCATTTCACGTGCAAGGTTTCGCTTCCACGCTTTTTAAGCAGTGCATACAAACGAAACGTCCAAAGTCGTGGTACCGTGCCACTCAAACAGCTGATCGCTCGCCAGTTGTGCAGACATGCCACAAAAGACAATTTGGTGAGCATTAGAATTATTAGTTATACCAATATGCAAATTGGAGCAACATATGCACCATCGCTACAATAACCATTCACATTAATTTAATTTAATCGAACTCCAGTAGTGACGAACATCGTGATCACCGAAATAAAAAAATACGCATCCAAATCCCCATCTTGTTTAGATTGCTAAATAACACGATAAGACGTGTATAATTCGAATCTACAATTAAATGATACTTAAAATAAAGACCAGCCTTGCATTAGGGTGTTATTGTTTTATTAATTAAATTAGATAAAAAAAAAGACAAAAATACAATTTACAGCCGAACACTTGTACTTCGCGGTGTAATGTTTCTACATATACCAACATGGTATACTCACTGACGTATCTCGACTGGTTTGAGAAATTCTTCCAATCGACCAAACGTATTTGACACAATCTCTCATGATCTTGAAAACGTTCTTTATATAAAATATATTATATCAAATATTGTGAGCTGCTCTTTTGTTTTTTTTTACTAAATCCATAAATATTCCTCACATACTAGTATTAAAGAGACACGTTATCAATGATATTTATTATTTTTACAATGCTTATCAAGATTTATTTGTTCCCTTTTTGCATCTTTGAATTGAACTTCTGCATAAATAATACTGTTATTCTCCATCTCCCGCTTTTCTGATAACACGCCAAGGTCTGACCTTGGGAGAGAAAGATTGGTGCATAAATTCCCCATTAGTCTTTATGAGCGCAGCTTTTCATCTTCCGAATCCAACTATCTGTATCATATCCAATGATTCCGACCGTGACAATGAAGCGAACAGCAAAATATAAAATAATAATAAAAAAGACAGATCCAATCGAATCGATGGGAATTAATGTGCGCCATATGTAGAAATAACGCCGATGATCGTCGTGGTGTTCGTAGCGCAACATCGGGACCTCATATGTTCAATTTCATTTTTGTTATTTACAAACAAGTATAGTATTATTTTATTATCCATATCACATCAATTCAATTCCTATATACGTGGTGCACTTTTAACCTTACCGTCTGATTAAAACGACATATTAGTACGTTCATATTGGTCAGATCGTAAGCAGACTTTCTACAGACAGCGTGCACACCAAATAAAAGCTTTTAACCGTGAGTTTTTATTAAGTGTTTTATATAAATGGTTTCAAATTTTGAGTCACACTTATATGATTCATATGCAAGAAATGGTTTTAGAATCGAGGTTTCATGTTTAAATATCAACATACGTTTTAAAATATTACGTGTTAGGGTTAGGGTTTTTCAAAACACGTCAGTCGAATTGCATTTTGTTCCGCCGCAGTATTCGTTGTCAACCATAGCAGGTGTGATAGTCGACCCGTTCTCGATAACAAGACAGACGTTATAAAACATTCAAATGAAGAAACCGTCAACAAATATGGTCACTTTGTCTCCGGGACCTCGTCAGAGAAGAAATGAAAAATGCTGTCGTTTGCTGTGCAATGTTCAATAGTTGCCAATTCTCATGATCATCGAAATGTATTAAATTCGCCAAAACGTTTACTGCCGAAATAGTGTTGACTCGTAACCTACACACAGGATCTTAATCCCGGATTCGTCCCACGATTTCCCCGGTATATAGGTACATGTATATGTACGCGCATTGCTACTTTTATTTGGAGTAGGCGTCACTCTCGATTGGAAATAGGCTAAGTCCATTTTTTGTCAGATTTACTTTTTCTTATTGAATATATGCTTGACTTTTTTCGCGCCATTCATTTATCCGTGTATCACCACTTCCATTTCGCTGTGGTTGATTTATTTTCAAGTGGCCTCTCCCCCCGTAAAGATATTCGCGGAAATTGCGATAGTATAAGTGATAGTATGTCATTAGAGAAATGATATCCCTAGTTTAACCACGTTTGCAATGTGGAAAAATATGTGCGCAGAAATTGCGAAAAGTGAACAGTAGCATCCTAAATAATTGAAGCTATGCGTGTGGGTACTTAGACATGGGAATGCTACTGAGTCTCCAAATTTCGTTGGGATTCGAGAATAACTATACTGAAAAATATACTAGTACTGATCCTGAATGATGCCCAGACATAAGCACAGAAAGAGAGCGACCACTTTCTCAATAATTTTGGTGACGTATTCAGTATATTGTCTTAATTTGAATTTGGAGACCTTGAACTAGAAAATGTACATGTTCAGAAACACAAAAAAGACGTTTTGACTAGCTCAACAGTCCTTGCCAAACAGTTCACGCACACACGCGAATTGTAAGAAGATGTATTGGGAATCATTGACGTCCTCCGCAGAAGATAACGTCACAGGGTGGGTATTTGCGACTTGGGTCTGTCCTGTCATTTTTGCCTGGATGTTGTAAGCTTGTAAAATTTGTATATCTGTGTGCTCATCTCGAAGTGCACGCTTTAGCTAGTATCGAATCGAGTTTAACGAATGTGGGTAAAAATACCAATTTGCCATTATTTTTTTGTACCGGATTCTAAATATTCAGCAAAAAACGTCAACCTAATATACAACTTGAATATTCCATGAGAAACGGGACTCGAAAAAATAGCTAAGATGTCGAGAGTCGCCAGTTAATGCGTTTTGAGTTAATTTCAGATGTTTTTAGGATTCATCACCATTATCACAACACCGCTAAACGGTCCTATATCGTGTACCAATTTGGCATCTTTTGCTTCCATGCAACATCTATATTTGACGCCTTTCAATTCGAGTCAATTTTTATATACCTGAATCCATACATTTTAGGATATTGCACGGTAACTTGGGTATCCAAGATCAGAAATCAGTGAACGCGGCACGGTATAAACTGTTTATCGTATAGGGGGAGTCTCTACACGGCTAATTTATTTTATTTCAATAATCTAAAGGTAATCGGGTTTCGAATTGAAACTAAGGTGACGGGTCATATTCATATGATTGTTCAATTTCTTAATTGTATTGTATTAGCTATAATATCCCCCTGGGGTCTGCCCGAGAGAGCCAGGTTATTGTAATGTAATTGGATAGAGTGATTCTGGCATCGCTGAGATTTGAACAGTAAATGCTATAATATTAACCGATGCATTCTCGTCTTTCTCGAAAATTTCTTTGTTATCGTTATGTTAAGTCACGAGGAAAAACTCGTAGATAATAATATTTTTGTCATCCAATGGTTCAATTTGAAACGCTTGCATTGTTGTTATTATTGCTACGACGATTCACGTCCAGTTCTTAATGTCAGTTGTTATATTATGCGAGATGTAACAAAACTACTCACCGACCATTGTATATTCTGTGTCATTGTCATGTTTTTATTTGATTTTATCATAACATGATTTTCTCGATAAATGAAATGTGACATTGAGCGTTCGATTATGTGGTTTAGTATACTGGCATTTTTAATGAAAAACAAATATAGTAAGACGTTTAATTTATACAACCGTGGACGGCCCGACAACAGTATTCTTAATGTGAATTGAAAAAAAATGACGGAGGAAACGATTTAAGTCGCCAAACTGTTGCACCTGTCATCGTGGAGGCTATTTTGTATTCTACAAATTAATATTTCCGCTTTCTCTAACTTTAATTTCCATCGTGTGTGTGTTATTATTGCAGTTGTCGTGTTTAACAGTGGTTGGTGCAATAGGTAGGGTCAGCGTGGACTCATGCACGGTTGATGTTAACATAACACATATCAGAACGCGCTGTACTCTAAACCATGGGTGAGTATGGAATTCTAAGTGAATACTATGAAAATTTATGATAGCTTAGGACTTAGCGAAATAAGGGAGGGTCTTCTTGATGGGTTTATAATACCATCACAGTGTGAATATTACCAATTTGCCACACGTGTGACAGATTCAATTCTTGCAAAATGTGTTTATATCTTTTTTTATTGCGTAGCGGGTTTGGTCTGTTATTACTAACTGACAACACGATAGATGAACACATCACATATATTTTTACCGTAAATGCCAGTATGCTGATATTTCAGTCGGATCTGTAGTTAAGTATATACTCGAATCAATCTAAAAAGGTTCTTTAAATTGCACTAAATATATTGTATAAATATATATTTATATATCGCATATCTTTATCATAAGGCTACGTTTTCTGAACAAGTCGGATTAAATGCACGATTAATGCAAGCACGATCGGGACAGCTGTCGGGAACGAGATTCGTATGAAACAAGGAGCACACAGAGCGATGACAAATGTACGCCGTTAATGGGTCATAAAAGAGAGAAGACGGCGAAGGTCGACCGTTATCCGAGAGGGCCAGGTAGGAACGATTCCCTCATGTAGTTAGCTTGCAGGAGACATTTTGCGTCCAGTACGAATGTGAGATTTACAAGCCTTGCTGCACCCCGGGGTGTATGCATATAAGAAATGTATTGATTTTGGCCTTACGTGCGCTGGCCGGCCGCCACTAGCGAGTAATGGGATAACAAGAACACCCGTTAAACATGATGTAATTTGTAGGAATTAATAATATATATTTTATAATACTTCAAGACGTACATAAGTCAGTAGGTGAAGTCCTGGAGGAAATATAACAATTCAGATCTTTACATATATGATGTCCTGCGGCGCAGATCGACTCCATCTCTTTAATTCGGGATGCTGGCTTCTTGAGTTTAAAAGTCAAACGATTTCTTCTTTATTTTAAGTCAGGCGATATGTCATTTGTTTTTTGCGCAGAATTCACTCAAGGCGAACGTTAAATTAAACTTAAAAACCCCGTTGTTAATCACTTATTTGAAAGAGATTCGTATGAAACATGTCTGCTGATTCATACATTCAGTCAAATTCGCTAAAATGGCATGTAGCTATTTCAGTGTGTATTACATTTCTATTCTGGGTGTACTATCCAGGTTGTTTATGTGACATGACATTGAGACTTATTGTCTAACTGGCCAGTTAAACTTAAACTGAGCATAAACATCGATTTGTTATAATATTCTTCTTTATTTCTTGGAAAAACATAATATAATTTTGTTTCTGGTCCTGAAATGTCCCAAAAATGGTGCGACGACGCGCTTTTGTTCAGGTTCCCTTTTCCCAATTTTTACAGTATTTTAGAAGGAATCAAAAAAAAAATCGCAAGCGGCCCCTTTTGAACTGACGAGCGCGCTGACTAGAAATAATCCATTTATTTAGGTTTTGGGCCTTACATTGTACAGTAAGTATGGTTCCCCCTTTTGAACATATCGTCACCTGTAACGAAAAAGCATGGCATTTTTATTAAATGTTTAATTTATATAAATAGGCAATGTAAAATTATATACATTTGGCCAAAAATAAACAATAATACATCACAGTTAAGTACATACAAGTACGCACCAAAAATTCTATCAAAATTGCGTTCAATTGATTAACAGGAAATCGTAGTTAAAATTTTGATACAGAAACCTAACAACGTCTCACTCTTACAATTGTCGTCTGTGTCATCGCGGCTGTTAATAATGACCATAACAGGGAATGAGGTCCAATGACGTAAATTTGAAACAGATTATTCGAAGTAAGTGTCAGCAGACGTGGACAATGCACCACTCGCGCCGTGTGCACATTCGTCTTTTCCACCGTAAATGAATTTCCTTTTCAGTTTTTGTCAACAGTTCAATTTTTTGTGATTTTTTTTTTCTTATTCAATTTTAAAAAACGCTAACCTAAAAAAATATCAAATGTAGTCTGGGAATTATAAAATATTTTCTTTCAACCCACTTCTTAGTTGAACGTAGCAATTACCTGACGTGGTATTTTTTTCGGATACTAAGAAGAGATTGGCATCAACAAACGTGTAAAGAGGACATTTGTCATGATTTGAGACAAAAAGAATATTTCATTAAAATCCAGACAGAAGTGTTAAAGCATCATGTAGAATGCCGATTAAGCATTCATTCCAGAGTCACCGGATGTGACTCAACCATCATACATATATAAAGTAACGATCATATCGAACATAGGTACTTTCTATCCGAAAGAAAAGGAGAGACCGTGTGACGAATGACTCAGTATTTGTTTTTGCATTTTTTCACCAGTGGTAAGTAGCCATTCGTGTCTTTCTCGTGTTTGGACTGCTGACGTCTCCGCGGCCGGGTTCGTCTCTTCGGAGTCTGTTTGTTTCTTTTCTTTCCGAAGGGTGTATTTCTTTTAGCGACCCCATCTTTGAAATATTGATGTCACACAAAATCTCAAGGGCCATACCGAATACTGCAATTTCTCCCTTGGTAGGAGAAAGGTGTTCATTACCTTGAAAATACATTTTACTTCTTCAATTTCGCGCGAAAATGTAATATGTTTACCATTAATATGTGATGTACTTGTTCATATTTCAATAAAGTATTTAGATGTCAGAACGTTGTATCAATTAAATCATTTCCTCGACGACGACCTCTGCGATCTCCCAGTATATGTCAGATTGAACAATTGGAAATTCCAGTGATTCCCATAAACTACATGTATCCATGGTAACAGAAGGAATACTACCTGTAGGATTAGAGATGCGGTATTAAATATTCTTCACAAAATATCATTGATATTATTTTTTTTTAAATAGTTTTTTCAACAATATTGACGTAAATGTGAAACAAGATAAACATCCTGTGAATCTTTAGCAAGGCTAAAGTCGACAAGGAGTATCTAATGAAAGGCCAATATTATAATAGCTTCGAGCTATTTTTATTTTGTTAATGTTATGTACGTATATTATATTATCTGGGATTATTTTAGCTGAGAGTTACAAAGCGGGTTGAAAAATGAAATTGATTCAAGTTACGTAGTGTTAAAAAGGTGTTACAATGTTGAAGTTTATATCACTTTTGATCAGCCAACAAAAAATCCCGATAATAACGAATTCTGCATTATAGATAAGCGACTTATTTGACAAAAGCTGTCGACCTCTTTTCAGTCTCGGAAAGTTGGTGAAAATATTTAATGAAAATAAAAACATAACACATGTGGTTGAGATTGGGTGTCCACCGTGACTGCATAAAAAGGTGGTGAATTGAATTGCTACCCAGTCAAAATTATCGTTCAGGGAAAAGGGATTTACCCAAAGATTAGATATTGACAGGATCTGAAACGTGATCACCTCAACGTACTGAGTTATGGGAATGGAAATACCTCGACAGTCACACCGGCGTTATCGGAATACCGCGAGAGTCACACTGGCGTTATCGGAATACCGCGACAGTCACACCGGCGTTATCAGAATACCGCGAGACTCACACCGGCGTTATTGGAATACCGCGAGAGTCACGCTGGCTTAATCGGGAACCACATATTTTAGTGATTGATTAATATTATTACATTTTGCTGATTTTAATTTTTTAATTTTTTTAATGTAGGCCGAGAATCGACTTTAGTGGTCACGTGCTCTTATATTTGTCGGTCACTGTTAACAATCGACGTCGTAAACTTAAACTGTGTTCCATAATCGAACCACGTACATAGCTACTCACTCACTCTTATTGTTATCCATTTCTATTTGATTTAAATTGACTGATTACAGTTTACAAAACCGCCATGATATTTCCTGTGTGGTTGAAAAACACTCGGATTTTCCAGCGTGGCGTGTTTTAACACGGGGGTCCAAAAATAAACATTATTATAGACAAAAGCAATTCAGCATGAAACATGGTGATTCAATGCAATGTATCAGCTGAGTTGTCACAATATCGTTATCGTCTCATGACTGGAATACCCAAGAGCCCCTGACGGATATGAAACAGGGAGGAGGAGTTCCCGAGATGTCAACGTCATTAAGAACTGTCATTGCCAAGTGATATAGCTCATTGATATAATTCAGCCTTGGAATCGTCTTATATTAATCAGCCAAGTGACGGAAAACTATAAAAAACACAATTATTATTATTATTTTATTATTACACACACAGTCACTGGATTTATAGCACACCATTTGCATGTTTTGAGCTGTTTCCATGGCGACACTTAAAAGCAGCACCCCATCCCTCATGACATGTATGTGACGTTGGATCACGTGCAACATGCTCCCGGGAAGTGACAACAATCCTCGATTCGGTTCATTTATTATGCGCCGAATAATGACAAGGGAATTGAATACACCACTCCGTGCATACGTAATTATCTCATTAATTCCAGATAATTCCAGCAAAATAGCAAATTAAATTTTGAGCCAATTGCTGCTAGTTCGGGTCAAGTTTAAGTAGAGGTAGCTGTACTGGAAATGTAAGTTTGCCAGAATCGAAACATCAGTCATTCCAATAATTGCTATAAAGTATAAATCCTTTCACTTTCAATTAAATAAGTAAACTTTGCAAAAAAGAATAGTTTAATCTCTCTCAATATTTGTCATTTAATATAACATGCAATTATCCGCATTGTGTTTACTTTCTATTTAAACATGAATTAATAATACTCGCACCTGTCGCCGTTATAGGATATCACCATGCTATACTGACCACCAAAATAGCTTATTAATTTCATAGTTATGCCATTGTATTTATATTTACATTGTACATCTCTGCAGTGAGTTTTGTGTTTTTATCACAGAGGCCATCGATTCTAAAAATAAAACAAGAGTCATCTAAACCATATCTCGACCTTCAATTACCATGGCAATATTTTCGTAAAAGCTTCACGTTTTCCGCTCATGGATACGACTGTGGTTAGAATAGTCAATTTGTTTCACGAGTCGCTACGACTGCGCACAATGTCCTGCATTACTGAGATGCAGGGGTTCCCTGCATTTATTTATTTATTTTTGAAAGGGAGAAATAAATGCCTGAAAAAAATTCCCTGAAAATACATTTTTGAAACTATTTTCATGGGAATTTGTTTAATAAAAATAATAAGTAATAATCGCGTCAACCATAAATATCTATCTTACAACTACATGTTTTCAGATGTGTTCAAACGAAATTGTGAATATACAAATTGTAAATAACTCAAAACGCATCATTTTCATGAATGAACTTGTGCTTTGTACAAAAATCAGTTCTCGGATGCTGCACGATATATAGCCATATTACAACATTTGATAAGTAACTACTTTAATAAGATATGTATGTTTTACTATAAAACCAAACTTCCCAGAGAATATCGCAATGATTACATTTTCAATCATGCTCTGTTTAGAAATCAGTAGTTACAGTATATGGGCAGCTGGACACGTAATTAAACAAACCCATGCGGCATTACCAAATATCACGAACAACATTGTGACAAACGCCTCCCAAAATGGTAAAATCAGGATATCGTATTATTCTGTATGTAAGAAAAATTATGTAAAATATAACCGACTTTTGATAAGGTTTGATATATTTAGTTTCAATTCAACGAAATATACATCCTTTAAAACCCATCGTCTTCAAAATGGCATTGCCTTTCTATTTCATTTTCCCCCGACATCATATTCCCCGCTGCTGAGACTGGTTCCGGCCCAGACACCACTCTGTCGCCCACACTGAAACAGGAAATGATTCCAAAGAACGCCACGTCAATATTAGTATGCCTAAATAATGGCAAAACTCACTATAAAGCTTTTTGAGAAATGAGATATTGTGATTTATGGAACTCTGCAATAGTTATAAGAACAAAGGACTAAATGCTTTTCGAAGAAAATTCATTAACGATTCTGGGTACATTAATTATTTTTCTGAGTGGATACTGGTGATGTTGTTACTTGGGGGTAATGGAGGAAATACTAGTAGATCGGGAAGGAAAAGAACCCGGATGCCAAAGTTCTCTCCGTGAACGCACGATACACCTGTTTTTAAATGCATATGTCCTTGGAAATGTTGTGCCTTTGTATGGCTGGTATATCCAAATCAGCTAATGTCATATCGAATGTAATTGTCATCGGCCAATCCGCAAAATTAGGCATCTTCCATCACGTCAATGGTTGTCGTTGATGTTATCTGTTTTTAAAAAAAAAAAATCGCAACGCATTCAGTAAAATTGTTTAATTGAAACTAGGGTTGCAAAGAAATATTTCTTTTCTACTGTGATCATATAAGCGGGCAAATTGATTCGAGTGTACGGTACAGGTCGGCTTGGGGGGGTTGCGCTGAGCACATTAAGCAGCAAAAAACATCAATTTTCTCTGCATTGGACGCAGAGCTCTCACGGTCCCTCCATATTGAAATTGCATCATAATTTTAACGACAAATCAAACTTTGTTACATTAGCTCTGTACGTCTTTCCCAGTGATGCCGCCATGTGTGTGTGTGTGTGTGTACTTCTCGGTAACCGCCAGACCTAGAGAGAATCGAGACGACTTATTGCACTAGGTTATATTTGTATATCTAGTGTTAACAGCTGTAGGAATAATGCTGTGATATTTGCATCCTGCTGAAAACTTTATCATACATAAAGAACGCGTATATAAACTGCGTATTAAAACCGGGTTTCACGGGCCAGAGTTCAAAACACCGCTGACATTGGCGGCTCTTGCTTCATGCTTCACGTTTTTCGTACAGGTTGCATACACACATTTTTGTTTCCATGGCAACCAGAGCCCCAAGAGTGACATTCATCTCCGTTCTGACAGGTGGAGATCAAATCAGAGGGATTGAGGCAAGAGACTGGCGAGATGCTGCCGATTATCGTTGTCTAGCTACCTGGCAAAAAAAGACAAGACAAGACACTTAGCGGAGAAAAAAAGTCATCTTACAGGTAGTCGGACATTTTAAGGAATATTTACTGATATAAAAATATGAGTTATCGTTTAGAATGGGTCTGTCGTTTTAATACGTGACTTTTACAAGGACACTTTCCCCATAAAACATATCGACGTTTCTGATTGGTGGCGATTTGTGTTCGTTGTCGCCAATTGTTGTCGCAGTGCTTTTAAAATATCTCATTTATTGGTGATGAAATCAATTATAAATAAATATGTATATATAGATAAACAGTATTTCAAGTTACTTAAACATTTAAGGCTTAAAAACAGATTTTCTGATAATACTGTGACAGTATCCGTCTGGACATTTAAATGTTAACGGGTCTCCGCAATCCTCTAAAATTACAAAAGTTTTATGAAAATGTCATATTTACTCCCGCACTAAGTCTATCCAGTCATCAATAACGTTGATTTACATCGTGGGTGTCACGTGATGACAGCGGGTGGTCGCTTTGTTGAAGCACACGCCCGCTCGCCCAACGGCCCCTCCCCGTACGGCATATCCATTCATTTTGGGCTGTATCATAATAGTTTGCTGTATTTTTGGTGTTCTTGTCCGTAGGGCTCTGTGCAACGCGGTATTACAAACCCCATTACAAATCTATATTCCAAAAATCAAGTAATAACATAAATTACCTGATTATCAGTGTACTGTGCGTTTACTCCACTACTGCAGAGGAATCGTTTTTCTCTGATCTTTGGAATACTTTATTTTTGCTTGGAATTAATTTTCGCTATTTTCAAAAAATTAAAAATAAAATCCAGCCATTATACCTTTTTCTTCTATATTTTACATTAAACTTCAATGAAAATAAATTCCATACAAAACATCAAAAAAAAGTCTATTCAGTGAAAATTAAATCCAGCTAAATAAAGTATTTTACAGTATTTAATTTCACTGTAATGTAGATTCACGTATTTGCGCATTTAAGTAGCGGGTTTCGGGTATCAGCAAACAACAAAATTTAAACCAGTGAATAATTAATGACTTTACAGTAACTGTCATATTTTGTTATTTGCCCAAGGTGACCGAGTACCATCGCGACGACTTTGCGATTACTGATTAACATCATGATCTAAGTTGTTTTGTTTTGGGGAATCTAGATGCAAGACATGGAAACATTAATAACCAGTGCCATCATCTGTGTATACGTTATTTAGAGGCACAAACATATCATTCACGTGAGCTATCGTCATGGAGACGCTCAAGTCTGAATCTTTTCCGCAATCTCCCTTAGGTCACGTGAAGGTCACCGCAGTATTGTGTGGAGATTTAATCGTCCTGTCGGATTGTCGTTTTCCGTGTTTGGGTAATATATTATATTTGCGTATTTCCGTCTTTGTAAGCTTCGTCTTCAGCACTCTCCACGCTTCTCCAAGTGACCGTTTTGCTTCAAAGACGGTGTCGACAGAGTGCGCTGCTGATTCGCACTAGCCACGCAGGAACCACTGAGAAATCACGTTTCGCGCTCATTCTCGGCAGTTCAAACCACGATCACTCAGTCTACTGTCCTTGAGAACAACGCCACTGGGGAATCATACGTGAACAAATATAGAAAATATTCTGTCAGAAAAAGAAGATTAATTACAAACACGGAGGCTTATCATAAGAGAAGTGAATAGAAGTAGACTGGGTGGAAATCAGTCAAGTCTTGATCACTATTGTCATGTCATGGCTCCAAACTTTCTAGGATTATTGATTTTTGCGTTTGGGGCGTTGAGCGCGCCGATCACCTCTAATATAAATTGTTCTCCCGGGTACACATTTATTAACTTTTGCACCCTCGGTGTAAAAGAATAATTTATTCCTTAATGTCCGGCGGTTTAGACAGCCCCCACCCCTCATCACTTTATGATGTATACCGTGTAATGTCACGTGATATGTCTTTACGAACTGGATCGTGTATATTATCAAGAACGTGTACCATAACTCTCTTAAACTATTTGTAACAAAAACGGTGTAATAAAAATATATTGGTGTATCATTTTTGAAGTGTATATATTATAATTCAGTCTTGTTATCAGTACAATTAATGCACATACTTTCTCGCGCGTATTCGTATATTATTTACTCTAAGCTACCGTCTCACAACGAATTGTCACGTGACCGCTGTTTAGCTTATTCCGCAGTCACAACTCATGGGTACCGCAATCTCTTGTTCTCCGATAATTTTGTTTTTAACTGCTTCCTCTCACGGAATAATAAAGTAAGCGTACCATTTAAATATCGCCATCTCAATTTAGTCATCATCAAAATTCAAGTGAGGTTTACCCGTATGTCGCTAATTGTACTATTTTAGTACATTTTGCTTCGAATGGTGATAGGTTCGCGCAATGCCCGGTCTCCTAATTTATAGATATGTTGGTGTATTTTTTGTATCTTACCTCTTATCGCAATAAATGAAAAAAAAATAACAGTTTCAGGAAACATACACATTGTTTATATCTATCTAATGAAAAGATTTATCGGTGTCTATTTCAGAATACAAGTACAAGTTAAAATCAGCAATAATTCCGAAGAGATATGGAACTCTCTGAATTGGTAGACAAGCCGAGAAATGTTAGCAGAGTTAGTGAGACATCACACCAAGTACAATCATCTCCTAATGACGACATGGCTGAGGTAATGATGCTTCCCGTCATTTTGCAATACTCTGATTATAAGGTTATTTTGCAATTCTACAAATATATCAATAATTGTATTTCCATACACACTGATATGTGACTAAGACGGTACTAGACACGCTCTTTTGCTGCCAATGAGATTGCTTTTCTGTCTCCCTTCTCTGCAAATGAACAATTTTTCATCTAGTGTTATCTATGGTGATTATTTCTGTTGACACCTGACATGTCACATGACCGGAACACCCTGCTTGCTATATCCGGTGCTGGATATCTTAGCTATTCTTACCTACCTCGACTTCTTTATCTTGATTGTAACGTCTGAAGACTCCTACTTAAAGATTTCTGCTACTCTGTACCCTTTGTGCTTTCACATTACCACTTTGCGCTGTGAATGGCACTGTATGAATTCACTGCACTCTGATCGCTTCCAGTGGATTTTCCAGTGCCATTTACAACGTCAAGAATTAAATCGCATATCAATCCTATTCACATTCCAAGGCAGAAAAAGTATCATGTATGCCTGTATTCATATATATATACCGTCCTGGGAGGGGGGGGGTCGGGCAATAATTGCACAATTGGTAAATAAATATATGATGGAATAAAGAACATAGTAGCATTCAATTTTCAAATCAGAATTGAATGAAAATAAAAACACTTTTTAATGTTTTACTGTTTTTTTCACGTTTTTTGTCCTCATTTTACATTGTCCCAATAATGATCTAATTGTGCATGAATTATATTGTCTATTACTCACATATTTACTCATGTGTGGCTATGACATTTGGTATTACCCCTTTTCCTTAAAATGCGCACATGTGACGAATGTACTAGATCTTGTACATTGCATAACCAGCGTCAGGGAGATTGTGAATGCTACGCTTGTTGTGGTCAGTGAAACATAGCACTCACTTGTCATACACTTGCCATCATAGTTTGGAGTTCCTGTTGAAACGTATACCTACGCGTACTACTTTAACCAAATAATTAAAATATCCTTCCACTACTACTAATAATAGCAACGCCATAACGCGCGTACGCACTAGCCACATTTGCACCTGTGGTTATTATCGAAACAGAGTACTTGCGTTGACCTAATAAGAACAAATCACACCAGAATAGCATCCCGATATGTTTTTATTATTTTTTGTGTTGGAAAAAGTACTTTGATTACTCGACATTGCTCCATGTATTTCGAATGTCACTTAAAATGAATGGAATATCGTCTTAAAATTGACGTTGACAGCTCGATGTTGTTATCGTACTTATAGTTGAATGTTTCACGTCAACGGCGTTAGTTAATGTGTATGGGTCTCGCTCGTGTCCCACGTCACATGCTAAGAAATCTGAACCAATTGCATTATTAAGGCCCATGGAGTATATTACCGGAACACCTATGTAACCCTAACAGTCACTATCAGTGTTCAGCTCAAATAGGTTCCAGTTTAGTTTTAAATGATGGACAACGTTTACACCCGGAGAATTCCTGTCTCGTTGTTGGGAATTGTAATGTCAAGAATAGCTTTCATTGAAATGTTGTGTCACCAAATACACTTGATTATGAATACTAAACAAAAACCTGAACATAATAGGTTACGAACATTGGACAGAATTGCTCATAAACACTGGACATAATAGGTTACGAACACTGAACATAAGTGGTTATGACCACAGAACATAATTGTTACGAACACTGAACATAATTGGTTATGACCACAGAACATAATTATTACGAGCACTGAACAAAAGTGGTTACAAACACTTAACAGAAGTATTCACGAATACTGAACATAATTGGTTACGATTACTGAACATAATTGGGAACGAATACTGGACATACTAGTAATTGGTTACGAACACTGAACATAATTGTTTACGAACACTGAACATAAGTGGTTACAACACTGAACATAAGTGGCTACGAATACTGAACATAAGTGGTTATGAAAACTGAACATAATTGGTTGCGAATACTGGACATAATTGGTTAGGAATATTGAACATAATTGGTTACGAACGCTAAACATAAGTGGTTACGAACACTGAATATAAGTGGTTACGAATACTGAACATAATTGGTTACGAATACTGAACATAATTGGTTACGAATACTGAACATAATTGGTTACGAATACTGAACATAATTGGTTACGAATACTTAATATATTTGCTTAGAAAAATGAACATAATTAGTTTTTGCCGCTAAACATAATTGGTTATGAAAACTGAACATAATTGATTACGACAGGTTTTCATTAAGCCCTCGATAATAAGACTCCGATGCGCAACTATTGGTTTTTGAGCTTCTTACATGATTCTTACATGATATCTATTTCCCGTTTCAATGTATTAATTATATGTGTTATAAAAACCCAAACAGCCTCATTGGAAATATAACACTTTAGTACTAACCGATTTTTTTTATTTCGCACTTTACATCAAATGTATAATTTCACACTTTATTATATATTGAGTTTGATATCGTTGTTGTGAAATGTATAATCTTTGTCCAAATCACCCCTCCCCGTCTTACATGGTACTAGTGTATTATGGATCGAATCGTACTTCATTGTGATTTGCGCATGTAGCTTTCTTTTCAAAATATTTATCTATTTTATGTAAATATCTCTTATAAGTGGATAACAACACCAACAACAATAACGGAACGTTCTCTTCCTTTTTGGCACTAGCACATTTTGCTGTCTTTTTATATCAGCGAAAGTATGCTAGTGGCAAGCAGGACGTCATCGACCTTTCATCCGGGTACTTCGGTCAGTCTGAGCTGGGACGCCACCACTTAGAACAGCATGCCAAGCTAGTGCGGCGGTGTCTGTATCTCATCTCCCAGTCGCTTTTGACGTAGTTCAGTCGTCATATAATGATGGTTCTAATCGTTTTTTGTCTCTGGTGTGGCATGACTTTCTTCTGTGTGACGATCGTCGTTTGGCAGATTTACCCGTTATCGTTCTGATTCGTAACGGTCAGACTAAACTTATGAGACATAACCGGCAGTGTTTAGTGTCTGGTGACAATTATTGGTCCCCTATCATGTCGCCAAGCCTTGTCCTTTTTGAAAAAAAAAACTGCTTTTCGTTGTGTTTGGCAATAGATAGAATTCACACTGTGTACACTGATCAGTGGTTCTGCTTTTGCCAACTACAGCGTGTAAGCGCGTTGTCAACGTGTTCCCTAGCAACACTAAAAAAGAGGTAACTATTCGGTTTTTCGTATTTTTGTATTAATAACGTCATCTGCAATATTCCCTTTTACTGTCAATTTTGTAACGGTTATCTTTGTGACTGATGGTTTTTTGTCTGGTCGCTTGTCTGACTGCATGCGCGGTACGTGTAACGCCCAAATTGTGATTATATATTTGTTACAGATAAAAATTTGTTTTTATAGTAGAAAAAAATACAATTACAATTATTATAAAATTTTGTAAATTTAGGCGCGATAAGTTGGTGTACATTATAATATTTACGGGTAGTAGTGTCCATTTTTGTTTGTCTCGTTTGTCTGCAAATACTAAAAACGTTATCGTACGTATCTAACTAGCCTCTCACCATTTATGTTCTTTTCATTTTACTTTCTCAGATACAAATAATTGACGTCATCACTACATTCAACGAAACACATCGAATACTGGGTCGTCGCGTCCATGTCTGCGATAGTAGTTGAAAGCCGAAATGGACAAAATAACCATCACCAGAAACTGCTATACTTTTTTTTTCAACAACTTAATGCGATGCGAGCCGTGGATTGGTATCGATTAATGTGTGTTTGTAGACTGTCGTAGATTTTATGATAAATCATTCAATGTACATTATCTCCCATTACGCCAATGTCTTTCAAGTTTGCATCGTTACGCCGGTGTAATTTAGAAGATATAATTTTGTATGAAGAATATATTTTCTGCTATTAAATATATTTTGATCTTCAACTTCAACTTGCCTGTGAACGAGAATTAGGACGCATTTATTTAATATTTTAATTTGAATGTATTCAATTTGTCCGATAGGCTATATAATTTATTGTCGTCTTCCCGGTCGAGATTTGGGAAACCAGTGTAACCAGTTTTAACAGGGCGAGTGCCACACGATATATTGTCTGATCGCTCACACGCTAAACATGCTCATGTTTTTTTTTTAAATGAATTTTATAATGAAATACAGGTAATTGTATATTCATGTTTTTATTTCAATTATTTTTCTACGTTAAAAATAAGAATTGTTACAAAATAACTACGGATGTTCCTTCAAGAGATAACTGGAATTATACGGCCACTAACAGCTTCATTAAACGGTTATTTGATGTTACAAAACTTGTTTGCTTTATTTTTATATCAGTTATATAACGAAACACTGTCTAACTCCGGATATTAACTGCACATATTTATACGTGGAAACATAACCGAACAAGTTATAGCTTATTTAAAACTACTGTTTCCCAAGTGTTAGGGAATGGCCGGCGGGTCTGTCTCGAACTCCCCACAACACGCCTCTCAACTCTTGGTTCAGGAAGCACTGCGACATTTGATTGGCGATTGCTGAATTTAGTACATGCTGCACATGCCACAAAATATAAACAAATAATACATTTAGATAGCAAGGGAAATATGGTTGTCATATTTCAAGGTTTTTTGCATTTGCTGTAAAAGGCGTTATAAATATGAAACCGGAATCAGTTCTATAAATAGAAAGAGACATTAATTTGAATAAAAATCCATGAGAATCTCATCGTCTGAATAATTTATATCGAAATGTTTTTTCTGTATGCATAATTAATTGTATCATTGTTCTTAATGTATTTTCCACTTCGCATTGAAATGTACAACATTTGTAAATGTTTAGCAATGATGGAGATTGAATTTTGTCGTGAAATCTTGACTAATGTAATTCTTATATAGCCTTGCCGTGTTACGACATTTGGATCGCGCTCAATTCGCGTAGAAAATTGGTTTGTGGAGAGACTTAGTTTGTTTGGATGGCAATAGAGAGTTACCGTATTCCGTATTTTTCTTTCGTGAAGTCAACGATACTGGAACATTATGCAGTTATGACACATTTATTTTCAGAAGTATGTGTATAACATATTTTATTTTATGTATTATGCGTATCTTGTGATGGAACATGAGTCTATATATTCCTATACGCACATTCTTTATTGCAGACAGTCGACCCCTTTTTACTTTATCTCTCTGTTTGTCTTAATGGAAGTGCGTTGGTTTTCCTCGTCTTTAGATTTATCTATAGAAAGAAATATCCATTCATCACCGTTTGATCACCGGCGACATTTTCTGTGGATTTTTAAAATCATTGCAAAAAAAACGACTACCCTGGGGGTACCCTTGTCGAAATCAGATCATGCGCAGCTCTAATGGTGGCGAGGTATTGCCGCAGAAGTCTCACAGTGTGTGTAGGCATTGCTGCCATCAATCTTGTTGGTTCTACGTCACAACTGGTTAGCTGAGTGACCCCAGGCCAATGATCCACGATGGAAAATGAGAGAGAAATTTGTAAAAACCATTATGTCCATATTTTGGGCGATGTATTCAGGAGCTTACCCTATATATGTCGTGGTAACAAATTTGTTTGAATTTGTAAACGATTAAAATGTCCTTAATCAATTTTGATTATTGAATGAACGACATCACGCCATATTCTAGAATACGCTTACGCCCTCTATCGGTGGGCATTTACGAATGACTTTACAGTTGACTACAGGGGGCGTAATCGCTGTTCGTACACAAGAACATGAGTGCATACTGAGGTTAGGGCATGTGCTTCCAATAAAACTCATTAAACCTTGGTTAAAATATACGAAACTAAATTGTTTAGTCGCAATTATTCATATACAATTGTTGGCTCATATCATTGGGTCACTGCGATACACACGTGTCTATATTACAAACTTAACTACCGAAATATCGACGGATGAGTTTTAAACAACAGAGGCAACAATCCAATAGATATACATAATAGATATAAATAATATCTAAAAAAAAAACAGGAGAGGGCGTGAATTAACTATGTATATTAACATTAAGGCTGGACTGAGCTGAAATGCACATCAGACTCTTGACTAGCATTAGGTCATTTCCTTGTTTATAGAATGACTAATAGTTTACTCATGCTACCACAATTCTAAAAGCAATGCATGACGGGATACATTGTGGTGTAAGACAAATACTAGTATTATTTTGTCGATATCGACGCCAGGTTTGTATCAGTATATCTCACGAACATATCTTTGAAATTTGATTTTTGACCAGTTTGCTCTAAATTCAGATTGCCGACAATACGACCTTAAGGCCAGACATTTTTATTCCTTGTTTCTCGAGTTTCTACAAGGCAATTTTTTTTAGGAGGGCGGAAAAAAATAAAAAAATTTTTTTTTTCATTAGATTTGTGTGATTCTCAAAGAATTGTAAGTGAGATCATTGATCGGAGAGAAGAAATGAAATAAAATTGTATTCCATGTATAACCTTGTTTCTCATATGCTCGAGACTTCGGTACTTTGATCATGATACTCCAACGAAAATGCAACTTGGGTTTGTTATGCGGCGGGCGGAAAAATGAATATAAAAATAAGTTATTTTTAGCAACTTTTTGCACTTACACTTATTTTTATTTCATTTTCGGCTCCTGTTCATTCGGCGGGTTCGCGAAATAAGGGATAATAGAAGTCTGGCCTAACTACCGAGTTTGTTTACGTGTGGACCAATGGAAACTCTGGGGCGATGACAAATAACTATGCAAAATTTGTGTTTACCTTGATTTGGTCTGGTGCTATTTTTTCTTCTGTGATGAATTATCTGTGTTTTTTTTATAATTCCCACTGTGTGCGAGATTTTTTTCTCTGTTATTTATCCCTGTGTATGATTTGTTCCATTATGTTTTCCTTTGATGTATTTCAATTCTTCCATCGCCCTCTCTCGGAGTTTGTAATGGTCAACTTCTTACCCGAAGTTCGAATACGCGCTGGGTGAAGACTGTGGTGTTTTGATGTTATATAAATTCCACCACCCCAAGTCGTTATGTCCAAGTTTTGTATAAATAAAACGAGTTACTTTGCATGCGTTGTATGCGTCGCTCGTTACAAACATCGAACACGACGTGGCGCGACGCTTACGCTGGTTTAATAGATTATTAACACCATAGTATTGGGTGGGCGGACATTTAACCGGCTATAATCGTGGCCTAAAATTGTCCAAACACTGTGTGGTGAATTTTATGTGCTTACACCGGCACAACCGGGACACAACATCCACCAAGTAGTATTTCAATAGTTTAAAAACCTATATAAGAACTACAGCTAAGAATAACTCCATTGAATCATGCCGCATTATGTCCGCCACGCATAACAATAAATATACCTTCACACCTACATATTTGGGTCATGGTTTGTAAAAGATTATCAAAAAAAATGAACCCGAACATGTATGACAGGTGGCTGTTGGTTTAGCAGAAAGCGCCCTCATAAGATGTTAGATTAGCATGACCGCCCAAAACACACACGCTGTTCAATACTAGTAATACTGAGACAGATAGGATGCAGGTAAATAAGAGTTGAATACATGAACGTGTATAAAATAATACGTTACATCTTTTAGAGCATATAACAAAATTGAATTCCACAATGTGTTATAAAACAAGACATTGCCATATATACACATATATATATATCCATCATGCTTCGATAAATTTACAGTTTTCATTGTATGTGTTCATGTAAAAACAGTTTACAACTGCCAACGTAGATCATAAAATTAAGCATTACTCGTGACAGAAAAATGATTTAAATTTGAAAAACTGATCGACGTTCATTTAATCTAGACACTAAACCAAATTGACTATAGTTGCATTAATTAAGTACACACTGGCAACAACTACCTTACGTACAACAGTGTTCAACTATCTTGAAATGTGGTCGTTGTTGGCTTCCAAGGCCAATCGGACTGGCGAGTCATTGGTACGAGAGTATGACACGCCATCATGGCAGGTAGTACCTTTCGTTTTCGTGACGATTCCGTCATTATTGTTATTATTATCTGAGTGAAATATGTTGTTGACGAGTTTTTTTGACTGTTGGTGGGTTTCCATGATGACCTCTATCATGGTCTGTATCATACCAGCCATGTTAGCGCCGCCTACCGGCGATGAGTCCCCTGTGCTACTGGTTTCACTCATTTCGGTGTTTTCTTTTGTCTGTTCGTTTTCTGCAGGATTCTCTTTCTCGTTTTTGTTCGAGTTAGTATTTGTCTGCAGCTGGAACTTGAGCCACGAAGTGAAAGTCTGATTCGTTTCCGTTGGAACATTTCGGGACTCATTTGTTAGCGGTGACAAGCTTCGGGAATCATCTGTCGGCAAGCTTGGGGCTACATCTTGCGATTCATTTGAACTATCCGAACTCTCTGCTACGCTGGTCGCCTCGCTTTCAGTTTTTGGTTTCTGTTTTTCGCTGTCAGTAGAATGTGTGTATGAATTATGACGCCACAGCAGATTTTTCTTTGGCGGTTGGACACAGGGTACGCGATTGTTTTCATAGGACGGGGTGTGGTTACGCGTCTGTGTCGGCGTTGTTTCCATGGTGACGGGCGAACTCAGTGGAGTTTGACTGGGTGATGCCGTGTTTGATTCAGCCGGCTTTGCTACTTGACAAACTGGGACATCGCACGTATTCGTGGTATATCCATCGTATGTGATACCATTGACGTCGGTAGTCGATGGAAAAGCTACTGCGTTATCTGAAGGTCCACTAAAGATGCCTGGTGATGATAACTGACTTGTCTCTGATGACCTTCGTCGCCGTGCTCTCTTTCCTAGGAAGCTTCGTCTCTCTTCCCAGTCCTTTTTTGACCAAGGTCGTTTCCTTGGGATTTCATGTGCCTGGAGTAAACTGTCATTGGCTGATATCACAGATGATACCCTAGCATCCAGTGCGTCGCGAAGCGCCGGGTTTATTGATTTCTTGTCCCGGTTAGCGGATAAGTCGGCTTCTTTTTCCACACAATATTGTTCAGGCAATTTTATAGAGAGGGACTTTTCAGAGTATTCATCATTGATGGGACTCGAAACGTAAGGTTTCATAAACGTCGGCGTCGATACTGGCAGCGCGGCGGTGTTGAATATTGGGTTGCTTCGAGGAGGTCTGCAAGAATCCTTACATTTCTTCCAGCGCTCCCCGCTCTGTTCTCGTGGATCATTCGATTTCTTCATATTGTCGCTGTTTGGTTTATCGGTCCAGCTCTTTTGTATCTCCAGGAGCTTGGAGACGCTCAGCTGATTTAACTGTTCCAGAATATTGCGTGAGATATCTGAGGATTGGGCATTGTCAACTCTTGTTAATTTAGACATACCAGTTTGCCTAACATCGCGACAGTATGACAATGAGTGGTGTTTGTTGTGAATGTCGTTAAGGTCTAATTTATTATCACTAAAAATAGTTTGGGATGGTGAACTTGTTTCAATGTTCACTTGCACTGCGTTTTGATGTTGAGTGTCGGTATTATGATGTATTCGTCCCAATGCCTGCATTCCACATGCGCTGTAACTTTCTTGGTACGCACCAAGATGTCGGTCATGTAATTTTCTCGAGTGTTTATCATGTTCACGCGGGACTTTGCCACGATCTGACTCATTGTACATATTTTGGGGAATTGGTTCCGACATCGTCGGGCGTTTTCCTGATGTAATTGTATTATTGCCACATAGCGACAAAGTTATTGGTGACTGTACATTCGCCTGGCCACTTCGTGTCACACTTGTGCATGACTGATGCACGGGAACCCGTGTCCCTATGGTGTCAACAATCGCCGCGCGAGGGACCACTTTAATATCTGCTTCAGTAGAGGGCGCTCTGCCGATCACAACTGCTCGCAGTTCGGTGCAGCTACCATCTCTCGATATTAGCATGGAGGTTTTCTCTTGTTTTTCATCCAAATAAACGGGGATCAAAGTTGCTTCTTCTCGCTGTAATATTCCCTTGTAATTGTTGATTTCGTCTGGTGCGATTGTTGTTATTTGGTAACTTGTTCGCGGCAGAGGTGTCGGGGTCAAGCGCGGCGTAGAATTGGTGGGCGCATATATAACTGGCGTTGATTGAATTTCTTCTCGCGAAAAAGGCCCTGTGACTACGGGCTTTCGTTTGAGTAGCTCGTCTTTTTTAGGTCGAATCTCTGTTGGTGCGTTGGGTACCGTGGTTACAGGCGCCACATTGGTACGTGTGTTTGTTGTGCCGTGTAGTTGGGCCTCCGGCGATTGTAATTTGTTAATACCGTTCTGGCCAACGTGTGAAACAACAGTTGGCATCGATCGGAGATTATCTGTGTTATAAGCTCGATTATTGGACTCACGGAGGAGTGCTCGTAGTACATCTTCGTGTTTCTGTTCCGAGATATCATTGGCTACCGCTGCTGGCGATAGTTGGACACGTTTGTTGTTCGAAGAGCATTCTTCCTCCAAAGAATTACGCTTTAGCAATATTTTCTTTGGATTGTAAACAACCGACTCTTCCTGTTCCGTAAGATAACTATATCCGTGTACTCCGCGACTTCTGAGGTTGTCGACCGGCCATTCAGCAGCTCCAGATAAATGATGATGTTGATCGTTCGTTAATATGTCTCTAGCCAATAACGCTACTGTTCCGTGGCCAACAGGCACTTGCCAGGTTTTTGCTTTTCTCTTCCTCTTTTTGCTCACCTCGCTGTGGTTTGCAGAAAATTTGAACTGTCGCCAGTGAGGACTTGTAGTATCTATTTCTGATCTGCTGCGAATTTCAGTCGCCTCGGCAGACATGTCATTTTCCTCCTCGGTGATTGCGTTTCGAATTGTTTGGTTCAAGGGCGAGGGTGGTACTTGCGAACTTAGACTACACTTTCCAATGTCTTCCTCGCGTCGTTGGACAGTTTCAATTCCCCCCTTACTCTCGGATGCGTTGCCCGGTTCTTTTACATTAACGCCATTGTTTGCAACAGCAGCGTTGCTCGTCGGCGCGATCGCTGTGTGCTCCCTCGATACCGCGTTGACTTTCAATGGTGATTGGTAATTCACGGCGTGTTGCATGTTTTTCGCATTCCATACTGCGAGGTCTTTACTCCATGGGTTTGCAAACGTCATTCTAGAACCGACGTAATATTTATCATCGCGAGTTGTTTCCGAAATGTTTGTCAATTCTTTTTGAGTAACTTTCTTGGTTGACAAATCCAGGGGTGTCATTATGCTATCGAAAGTAGAAGGTTTGTCGTTCATCATCTCTTCGCAATTGATGTTAAACGTTGAGCGCGATGGTGTGTAACTATTGCCGTCCCAACTAAGACGATATAACGTCCCTATGGGATGGCACTCTAACGTATCGCACTACTAGAGAGATACACGGCGTGACTTATACACAGCGAACTACAATAGACGTCCATCAGATTTCACCAGGTGTCACAGAATAGAACTGGCTGTAAATAGACGTAGTTCGGTAACCTTTTGGCATACATCCAAACTGAGTTACGGTCCGATTAAAGATGATCAGTACCCAGGTATGTTGATGTTAATCTCACTGACGCGGCTCGTGAACTCCGGAGATACACACTAGGTCAATAGCTAGAACAATCCGACATGCAGTTGTCGCCGCGTTCATACGTTCTGTGCTCGTCAAAAAATCACCTTTCTTTAAAAGTACATCCGTAAATTTTGTAGATACACAAAGATACTGGAAAAGGGAGGATCGTTGACGTGTGTAACTGACACTATAAGGGCTACACTGTAGTAGTACTGTTCGGTTTGCGGACACGGCATTTGTACGAGAAATTACTGTGATTCACTCAGTCTCCCAGCCACGCACTTCACTCTAAATCAAGATTTCAACAAAGTGACGCGTCAGACTGGGCACATACACAATTCATCATTGTGCCAGCCAATTGCTACGGGTTACTTATTTATTTAGGTCGAGTGGACAAAAGGACACCAAGTCTCCCGAAAGAGGAAATGGACCGTGATGCAAGTCTCAGCGTGAAACTGTTTACACGCCGAAATACATGAGTTGTCTGCTGCACATTGGATTCACTGCAAACACAATCCATGGAAATAAAACAAGACAGACAAAAAACGCAATTTGCATTATACTGTTACCTTCCCGATGTTAGTGATTTAAAACTGTGTTATTTACGAAATTCCAAAAAAAAAATAGACCGTGCTTCTTAACAAATTTAATTCTGGGACAGCTCACAGAAAACATAAAAGCTTAACAAGGGGAATTGCGTATAATAGAGTAGTGACGGCCCTGGCGAAAACACACCCACCAATGAAATATACATATGAATATACACGGACGTTACGAATTGAGTGAATATGGTTTATGCTCCACGTTTCATTGCGTTTTTTTTTCGAATACCACGCAGGGTATCTGGAACCTTATCACATATCTTTGCTATTTAATATTGAGATCGGATGGTTTTACGTGCGACTGTCTACACACATATTTTGTTAAAACAGGGTTGCCTGCATTCCCACGCACACATGTGTCAATAATATTACGGATGCCCCCCCCCCGCAAGAAAAGATAACTAGCATTTGTCGCTCTGTGATGGTTCGATCATCGCGGGACAGTCCGTACCAGCGCACTTTGACCACTACTTCGTAATGTCATTGGCATCTAAATACGCGTCAATACTCGTCTCCTCTATCATCTCGCTTCTCGTGGATTGACGTTATTGTTTGTCAGAGAGTAGTAGATGCAGTGTACGGACAGACCCATCCTTGACGCGAACACGATACTCGGTTATTGACTTTGTAGGTCAACTGATAAACACCTCCTCTCACCGGGCCAGTGTTTTCAATAATACTCTAGTCCATTTACGTGTAACGCATAAACGTTTCGGAATGTTGACGACTGACTGAACCGTACGGATTTACTTTTTCAAACTCCGGGAACTTTTAACGTGGTATATATATATTTTTATTAGACGCATAATATCCTTAGGAAAGGATAAAAAGGGTCTTACAGAAAGCAATTAAAAAAAAACAAAAAAAAACTACAATCTAAAAAATAAAACAAAAAATAAAAACTTTTCTAAAAAAAAAAAAAAAAAAAACAAGTCAAAAACAAAAAAAAAACATATGATGATGATGAATGATGATGATAATGACGATGATGAAATTACCATCGTTCAATTATTAATCTAGGCTTATTAAAATAGTTGCGTTGAATATAAAATCGAAATGTACTAGTATTTGTTTATTGTTCACAAGTACAACTACTCCACAGCTCAATGGTTTGTCCCACGTACCGACCACATCCGACCATTGAAACTTTTCGCTTGTACCCAGCATGCACTGCGTTGGTGAAACCTTCAAATTACAGTACATGCATGGTTGTAGAGCCAAATGTGAGTCGTTTTGACTGCTTTAAAAAAGTTTGTTTATAGAATTAGTTTTGGACTCGCTATACTGAATGGTCAACCTTCGACCCTGTTTTTTTTATGGGCAGCTGTGTATGAAATGACTGTGCATTGTGAAACGCTTCAGCGGTTGTAGAAATCTCAAAGTGAACTATTGAAATGGTAACGCAGAGGTCTGAAACAGCGATCCCGTGAAAAACAGCCGCACAATGAACGGCGGAAGCATGCTTTTGTGTGAGTGCATAAAAGTGATGCGGTAGAGTTGCGAACAATACTAGCCATGCTAATGCTTTGCGTCAGCGTGTGAGAAAACTGACACATCGTACTAACACTGCTTTGAAATGAAATACATAAATGAATGTAAGAAACCGCCCTGGTGCATAATAGTGTGTCGCTTTGATGGAAACTGTTAGATGTTAAGTATACTCATCAGAATTGCACATTGTGTTCAGATACAAGCAGTTTAGTAAAATGTCAATTATTACACTTCCTTGATATAAATATGAATTATCCAATTACGCCTTCCTATCGCTTATACACGCAGATTAATACAAGAAATATCAGAACATTCAACTTTTTATTGCTGTGTATTCGTTTTAGAATGTGTGTAGTAAAACCCATTGAAGCGTTGGTTGACCCCACTCTGACGCCTTGACCATTTCTAACTTTATGTATGCAAATGAACACGTCAACAAGGTCCCATGACGTGGCAGTACCTTTTATATTTACCACCGTTGGCTGGCAATCTGCCAATAAACCTTTGTTGTCAAGCTGGTGACTGCACTTTGAATACCAAGCAGTACCCGCCTTTATATATCTGTACCGTGTCTACTATCGTCAGCGGATGAATGGCTAACATGCAAATTACCTGACCTCATCAGTCGTATTGTCTACACCGGAATGAAATGCCTATGGTGCTGTGATTCGTAACTGGCGTGGGTGTGGCAGTCTGAAATACGCGTACACATGGCGTACGTGTTGTTGTCGGCTAGCATGGTGTTTTGTAGAGTCACATGACGGCGATGCACAGTGTGTCAACATTCATCAATATCACTGAGATACATCTCTCTGGTGATATACGCACACGGGATACAAAGTTTAACAAGTCGTTCAGCAGGTGAACAGACTATTTATATCACGTGACCAAACATAAACCACTAATCACGGATTAACATAGTTTTTTTTCACATGAAACTCAATTACGCTAAAAAAAATCAGTACAATACAAAGTAGCATTACAACTTCTTATAAAATATCCGGCATACAAGGTAGACATTAATTTACACGTGACTGAGTGTAGGTTATACGCCTCAATGTGCATAAAGTTACTGTCATAATAGAAAGTCTTGTTAACTAAACACAGAGTGGATATATACAGTAAGGTTAGACCTTCCTTCAAAACTGTTAAAGAATTCAATGAATGTTAACTTCATGCGGTTTTCCAAAGAACTGGCACTATAATGAATTTTGTAAGGAAAATTTTCTTCTTTTTTTTGCAAAGAAAACAATGTACATTAAAAAAGTGTTGCTGTGGTTAAGGATTACGACAAACGACGGCATGGATTCTTGTTTGTGCTTACTGAGTTTGGCATGAGATGGTATGTACCCATACGCCCATCGGTCAGTTTGCCCCGTCGGGTCATACTCAGGTTAAGATGGCTTGCTACCCCTCTGAAGGTCATAAAACTTTGCTACCGTGTAAACTAAGAATTGAGCCTCGAATGAACCGATCCCCGAAGTATACGTTATTAATATTCAGTTTTCAGGTACGGTCACGTTGTTTTCGTCAATACACGTATTCCAATTTGTGTACCATTTTTGAAGGAATATATGACACACGCATAACCAGGAGGAATATATACATCAAATTTGTTAAGTGACGTGACGAATTGCAATTAGAAACATGCAATTCTTGTTTATATGGGAACATAGAATGTATGAATTCCCCTCAGCGTTATCATCCCGACGATCATTTACAAAATGTATATACATTTGTGGTTCTCATCATTATCAGTCACTCTTCTTCACCCATCCTTGTTTCGGTGCCACTGAAATGTACAATGTGGTTGTTTGTTCTCAAGCTTATCAACGCGATGAGGTCGATAATGTTCACCTATATCCGGAGTGGGACGATCACGGCTTGGCACATGTACCCGATTAACGATGAGACTTTAACTAATATTAAGCATACTAGTATCGCAAAACCAGTGTTAACCTTTGACATTGAACATGAAGTCACTCGCGACGCCTCTCAATGTGGAAAGTATCGCCCGAAGCGATGTTACGGGATGCGATCGTGGAAAATAAGTTGATTTTATTTTGATTTAGTATGCCACACTTGTATATATCTTTCTCAAAATTTGTATTCTTTTTTCACATAGTTTATTTCACCACTGTTTCATCTCTCTAGCGTTACTTCACTTTTTTATTTTATTTGCTATATCATTTATTGAGAAAAATATTGTTTTAATTGTATTTTTAGTTTGTTGCGGCGTGACGTTATTTATAACTACGCACTACGCGCATGTGCTTTGATTTATCAGTGCGTACCATTTATTTATCGTAACGTACGTATTTGGCAAGTCGTCAACGACAGGTGGCAGAGTTCCATCATAAACTAAACTTTCAGTCAGCAACCGCTTAAAACCACTCGAATCTGCATGACTGCGAGAATCTCCGCACACCACAAAATAACTATACAACTCTGTATTATATATGCGCATACCCTCACTACAGTTATTAGTAACACTGGATAGTATAGTATTCTATTTCAGCCCCAACCCCCAACCCCTCACCCCTACCCCACCATCCGCTGAACTCTTGGCATCACATCCCTGGGACGGAGCATTATGGAAATGTACACAC